TATATACTGATATAGGGATAAGTAAGCAATCAATCCTGCAAATTAACCCTTAGTTGTTCAATATATTTATTCAAACAATGTGAGTAGAAATACAGAAATTCTGCTCCCACCTAAGGCCAACGTTGCAATATTACAACATTTCCCTAAAAACTTACCAAAACGTAAACATTTTTAAAACTCTTTAATTTCTGCTCCAGAGGCCAGGGGTTAAATTGGGATTTGATATGTGGGGGGGCTCTGTTAGAAGGTGCGACGGGGGGGGGGGGGGGGGGGGGGGGGGGGGGGGGGGGGGGGGAGAGAGTTAGACGCTCGTGAATTGTCAACGGGGGGGGGTTGACATCAGAGCATCGTCCTATGGGCTTAGCCCCGGACAGGTACAACAGGTATTCACTCAGAGGGGGGTACTAAATGCCACCCATTTACATGTAGGCAAACAAAATCAACATACAGTAGGGGGGTGGGGGATGGAGAATCAGCTATGTTACTATTTATAATGTTATTGTTGTTACAACAGAAGATGTTTTTCTTTATATTGAAGTTAAATGCATCAATCTGGTGCACTTTGAGGTCAAAATTAAGAGACTTATGGATACCGCTGGAAAAAGCTGTGTGTGAAAGTTTAAATCTTCCTTATTGAGCTTTAAAACAAATAAATAACGACTATATATAATAATAAAATAAACACCGGCTGTTGTTATGCCTGCTGTAACGTTAAATTACTCCGTTCTCCGCTTAAGTAATTATGCCGTTACAAGCTTCATAGTTGTATTTATCATCTAAATTTGCCGAAACAAGTTTAATATTCTGAAAGCCAAGACTTTGTTTATTTGAAATCAGATGAAAACAAACTGTAACGGTCCCTGCCGTGTTATCTTGATATTTCCGGCACAGACCCTTTCATACCGGCAATGCGCGATAGAAACAACAGGAACTGCGACAGCATAAGGGTCATTCCAGAATTGGAGGACAATTTAGACACCAACATTTTTGAAAAATGAACCTTTCATTTTATTATTTTTTGTTATGTATTTAGGAAAAACAGATAATAAACCATCAAAAAAAGTGATTTGCCCAGCTAAGGCATCAAATGTATATTTTCCAATGAAGAATTATTTAGCTTTAGCTAATTTTAGCTTTTACCTCAGGAATTAATGCTAGCTGCACAATGTAATGCTATTGTCAAGGAATGGACACACTTAGATATTTAACTAAAGAAAGATACATTTGCAATTAATTTGTTTTAGTCTCATAATTTGAGTAACAGGGTTACGTTTGTATGAGTGCCACACTCCTTCAAGAGTGACAAGATTGGAAATATATTACAAATAAAAGAGAGGACTTAGTTTTGGTCTACCCATGGTAGTAGCACATGGCTTGCTGATGTCCTTTCCACTGTGTCATGCGACAAACAGTTTTTTCACTTCCTCTGCCAAGCTAAAAAGGTTTCGGTAACAGGGTTGCGCGCATGTTGAGGGCCACACCTTCTGTGCAAAATTACTGTTATTTAAAATGTGTTTATGATTTAACAAATTCATTTTACCATTACAAGACACATATATCAATAGAATAATACCAAAAAAGTAAATAAAAACCCTATTTTAAATGTTATATTTCACATGCAAGTTGGTCACCAAGAAGCTGGGACAAGAGAAAAGGGCAATTTTAGGGGGTGTTCGAGAGCTATTTGATATTTTAAATAATATTTTGAAACCACTTTTTCTACAACTTTATATGCATCTTGTCTCAAGACAAGTATATTTAACACAACAAGTGCATGTCTTAGCTTTTTGGGCATGGATTATTAGATTTTTTATATGGGGGACAAGAAATGTCCTCCAATTCTGGAATGACCCATAAATATGCGAACACAAACCTGCAGACTGCTGGAGAAGAGATATAACAGGGGGGGGTTGGGACACACACATTCCGATGGCCAATTAGTTTTAAACAAAGAGTATAGCCTACTCAACAGTGGGGGCTGGTGAACGGTATGGTCAATGTTTGTAAACACTGTGACATTTTGACTTTATTTGATCATTTCAGTTAAAAACTAATTTAGTAATTTACAGGAAAGGAGTGCACGCTACTAAAGAGACACGCTACCATGGAAACCAAACAATGGTGTTGCTGTATTGAAGTCCGAGTGGAAACAGTCATATTTGGAGCGTTATGTTAGAATGAAACAGCCAGTTAGTGTTACTTCACTAACTGTAAGCTTGTCACTCAGAGTAACCTACAGTTAACTTAACTGTTGGAAAAGAAAGATCAGGGGGGGGGAGAGAGGTGTGGGTGATGGGCCATTAGGTGTGTAAACACACAGCTGAGAGCTGCCGTTTCATTCTGACTGTTTAAAAAACGGTAACAACGGACTATTTTTCTTGGCGGATGCATGTCAATTTAAATCAATACATACAACTATTTTTTAAATCAATAAAAATATTTTCTAAATCCATAAAAGCATTTCAATTAATATTGGGAGTCATGTCGTTACTTTGTTGAGAATGTGGCCATGTAATAAGCGGGATAATTTGCAGCGACTTGGTCATTATGGGGAAAAATAACACCCAGGGATCAAGATCCCTCCGCTACGCGGATCTTGATTTGCCTGACAAGGCTCCATTAAAATATAAATATGTTTAGTGAATTACTGAGTTTAGGCACGTTAATAACATTTTAATGAAGTTGAATACAGTATATTCATATTTGTCAGTGATTTCATGTCAATTCGGCGACCATAAACATAAATGATCGTGGTGAAGATGATGATTAAATTAGGATTAAAAATCGAGAGCCGGCTGCTTTCCTCTCGTTCGACAACATTATTTTGTTAAATAACAACATGGTGATGTTTTGTAAATGATTACATGTATTATTTAGCACAGACTATGATCCTATCCGTGACATATGGATCTTAACAAAGATCCGCTATACATTAGTACCAGACATATTGTGGTGATTGACATTATTCACCCACGGATCTATGGGTTGGGGTATTGTTCCGCACGGACATTTTAGTGAACCAGACCAGCTGTTTCCGCCGGTCTTCGCTTCCCGGGCATGAAGTTGTTTACATGTGTGTTCAGATGCTAAATAAAAGTTTAGCTTTTACTTTTGATACCCCGCCTCCGACTCCCGTCTCTCGGCACCACAACATCCAGTTTACTGTATCGAAGTTGATTTCACATGAGCTCCAGTGTGGAACCCCACTGCACCCCCTGGTGGATCAATGATCCATTGCAGCTGGCTTCACAATAATTAAATGTATTTATCACGGGGGCGGTATCAAGTCAGACTGGGGGCCGGCTCTTCATCACGGGCCGATCACGGACCAATCACGGACCAATCACGACCCTCGCGTTTCAAACTGTTCAAAATAAAACGCTCCATCTGTAAACAAGGAAACCACACCTCCACGGAGCTCAGCGCGATTCACAACGTCCCGACCAATCAGAGCACACTGGGCTCACAGGGAGGGTGGGGGCTGGAGCTATTGGAGCTCCAACGAGCCGTTTAGTGGAGAGAGTGAATACTGCTGAATACATACACTTTACAGAGATGCTGTATGCGAAACCAATGTGAGTTTGGAAAAATGCACAGTATAAATCTATTTTAGTATACCTCAACAATGGAATTATGATCAGTGGAAATGGCCATGACACCTCTCCTTTAACTTGATGAATCCACAACAAGTAGAGCTTAAAGTATTTTTATTATTTTTATAATTTGTATACATTATACAAAGCTTATTTATATAGGAACGTCACTGGTGTTACGTGTTACCAGGAAGAAGAGTAACACCAGTGACGGTAACACCAGTGACAATTTGGAGAAAAAACTACAATTTTAACCAAATGGCTGCCATGTGTCAGACCAAATATGGCTTCAGTCAATATGAAAATCGTTTAACTCTTCAATACAATACATTTTCCCATTCAAATGTTCACCCCTAGGGCTATGCAATGAGTAACACTAATGACAGACTTGAAAGACGCACGTAACATTTGAAGATAAAATGACACCTTTAACAAACAAAGTGAGAAGTATCTGACTTTCCTTATGTCTTTGTCCACTGCACTGCCTCAAATGATCTCTTGTTACAGAGACAGTACATTATTTCAAAAATAAAAGTGTTTTGTGTAGCAGTAACACCAATGACGTAATTTTGGGTGACTGACATTTATTTGATATTATTAATAATAATTTGCGTTTTTTTTTACCATTTCAGTGTTATATTTAATGTATGTAATGTTATGTAAATATGAATGAGATTTATTTATTGAAAAATAAATCTTTTAAATTAAAACTATAGGCTCCACTTCCATGTATGATCAACGTGACAAGGCAGTTCCTTGAACTTGGAATTTTAAATAAATTGCAATTTATGTATAAAACCATTTTTTATTTTTTATTCAGTAAAAACGTCAACGTCATGTATTTTGGTTATCAAGCCCTCAAATAGGCTCTGTGCACAAGATGGCGTCTATCAACTTCCGGCGGGTGGGTGTGGGGGCGAGTACTTCCGGTTTGAGTACAGAGTTTTTACAGCTTGACAGTTTGACAGTTTGACAGTTTCTTATGACACACCAAGAGCAAGAATGAGCGGATTTCGGGGTAAAGAAAAGCGATTGGCCTTCCAGCGGGTAAGAAAGTCGGCACTACATTGCTGTGTGCCACTGTGTACGAATTCGGCCCGTTATAATCGGGAGATAAGTTTTCATGCATTTCCCATTGATGCTGAGGTAAAGGCTCAGTGGCTGATCAAGGTCCGTAGGGACAATTTCAGCCCCACAAAAAATACCCGTGTGTGCAGTAGGCATTTTCGACCAGGAGACTTATTGGTCACAGCGGGAGGACTGCACAGAGTACAGAAAGGAGCTACACCTGTTCTCTTTGCATGGAATAACTACGAGCTACCTACACCAAGACGTAATGTTTGGGAGCGTCGGCCGAGGGCAGAGAGCCCCACCCCGGACTTGACAGCTGAGTACAAGGTGGAAACAGTTGCGCTGCCTGATCATGAGTACTGTTTAAATCCCGCGACGGCAGTGATGGCAAATCAGGTGGCCGACGAGAACGAAGCCTTGAAAATGCAGGTTAGGGAGCTCCAACACCAGCTGGAAGTGTTACAACTGCGATCTCGTTTCGGGATACAACGCCTGGCAGGGTCGGACGAGGACATTAGTTTCTACACCAGGTTTGTTTATAAGGCTATCAGGATGTTGTTATGGCCACTAGTTTGAAAAACACCTTTCATTTGGGGAAGCTAATTTAAGAAACAAAACAATGTCTAACATGAACAATATTACATTCTTAGATTTGCCACATACAAGCATTTCCTTGCCTTTTGGAAATTGGTGGAGCCAGCAGCCAACACCAAGATGGTGCGGATCACCAACGCCAAGGCATCCTCTGCCAGCAGCTCGGATTCCTCTCAACCAACAACAACGGTATGCAGCATACAAGCATGGATGTATATTAATAATTATGCACGCTGCGCACTATACCACCGTTTAACAAGTGCATCACATCACATCACACACACACACACACTGTTGGAGTAGAACACTTTTCTGGTGGCTAAATAGCCCCCCCCTCTCCGCGCCGTTCGTTGGATGAGGCTGGATCTCTATTAAATTAAGAAAGGAATTGAAAACACCGGAATCAAAAGTTATAACAATTATCTGAGTTTACTGGTAGGAAATAGAACAATTATACAAGTTATACAGAGTACTCCGGACTTCAGATTTGTGATGCGATGCGGATAAATGCGTCGGGACCCGCCAACTCATCAAACCAAAAAGAAATTGGACTTCAGGTTTGTGATGCGATACGGACACAGTTATCAGGACCTGCCACTCACCAAACCAAAAAAGCATTTTTACACACACAAACATCAGTATTTCTATCTGTCTTTGGGGCGGAGATTTGTCGATTCTTCCTTCCCACTTTTCTCCCAAGCGAATTAGAGAGCCCCTGGGGAGGAGCTGTTTAAACTGACCACCTCCCCCAAGTGCCCTGACTGGCTGGATTCGCTTCTGGCCGAGGTCAATCAGAGTTCCGAACAGAGTGAGATCCCAAACCACACCAGGTCAAAAGTCAATGTTTATCTTTACCTTATCTTACTCTACATTCCTTTCCCAGGGGATATTTTCACCTAAACTATCCTCCTTCAGACATTTAAACTCTTCTTCACCTATTTAAAGATGTCTTTTAACGACTTAATGACCGCATCTGGCTTTTAGGGATGATAAGAAGGATGTTGGTGTGTTGAAACACAGAATCTCTGGATCAGTGAGTTTGAAAGTAAGAATAACATTCCTATTCTAAGTGACTTATCAAAACCCGTTTGTGATTACCTAAAACAGTTCAAACAATACATGTTTACTTCAATACAGTGTAGAATCATATCTTTTACTTCAATCCCTCTTTTGATCTCACCTCACGAGATCAACATATAGCATTTGAAACATTACCACTGTCAATTTTCTTCTTACTGTGTCTGTCCCAACATTTATATAAACCCATCAGAAGTTGGGATATAGAGCACTTTAAACCTTTAGGAACAGTCCACAACAACAACTTATTATGACAGTGGAGGGAGAATAAAATATGTCTAAAAAGCAAAGTCCTTGTCAGCTGAGTCATCTTTACTCTACCCTCAATGGTGGAACTGATGAGTCTTAACACACAATGAGCAGATACAAGGCACACAACAACAACCACATGTCACTAAAATGGCAATAAAAGTAGCCACAGAAATCAGAAAAGACATTATCATACTTTTCCCTCTTTTGGTAACACATAGTTCTGTAGAATAAAAAATACAAATCCCTTAAATTATGGGATATAAAAATAAAGTTGAAAGTTCCTCAAAAAAAAATGGATTGTTCAGAGAAAGTTCCACACCGGCTATATCAACCTGTTTCAGCGGGAAATGGAGTTCCCTGTGCCGTCTTGGTTTGCCATATCTTCGTCCCCCCAGCCCGCTGACGGCGGCTTCTGGGGTGCTTGCTAGAGAGATGTGGCCTGATTGTTCTCCCCCGGCCCGCTGATGGCGGCCTCCGGGTCGATGCTGGAGAGATGTCCCAATCCTCCTCCTCCTCCTCCTCCGGCCCGCTGACGGCGGCTTCCGGTTCGACTGCTGGAGAGATGTCCTGATCCTCCTCCTCCGGTCTGCTGATGGCGCCTCCTGGGTCGACTGCCTTGACGAGAGCCAGATCTGTCCTGATGTCGTCTAGGGTCCTCGCAGGTGTTTTTCCCGACCGCACACTGGCTCCAGTGGTACCAGTTGTCTCCCTTTCCATCTAGGCGAACGGCATGGGAGGTCCCCTCCAACCAGACGTAATCTGCTGTGTTGGCCTTGTGTTTCTCGGGTCCCCCTTTTGACGTCAGCAGCCTGTGTGGAGAAGTCTCATACCAAGCCCTTAAGTTGCTGGAAATATGGTTTTGAAATCATCTTTTCTACTTCTTTAGTGTTTATTGGCGGCACCAACTAGACTGGAGTGTGGACAAGAGACTATGCAGAAAATAATAAACAAAAATTAAAATTAAAAATTAAAAATTAAAAATTAAATTAAAAAATAGAACAAAAATAAAAATAAAACAAAAAAGGAACAAACTAACAAAACAAAAAATAACCAAAGCTAGATTATTTTAAATGTATCAATTTCTCTTAAAAGCAACAAATAAAACAAAACAAAAAATACCATAACTAGTATTTTTAAATTGATAAATTTCTCCTAAAAACGTAATAATCTCACATACATATTGTCTGATGTATATCCTATCCTTTTCCCCCTTTTACTGAAATAGAACGCCGTTAACGGTGTTCCTATTTTCAGAAATATCGAGCCTTATACATCAGTTATTTAATATCAGCTATATATTTATTATTACTATTACTTATATATCAGGCATTAAATGTCAGCCTTCTTCCATGATTGACCTCGTCTATATTATCTGACTTATATTGATACGTGTCTGTTTGTATTTATTTAATATACTGGGCAATTATTGATAACTTTTTGAATCTCCCTCTTTTCTTAACAACTTGAGGTATGGCTATTTTGAAATCTGACTTGGTTAAGAGATGATTCGTTTATTGGTGAGAGGCACACTCTTGCCCTCGTGATTGGGTGGGGGTGGATAGTTAGGGAGAGTTCCTTACAATCTCCAGATCTTCCTCTCTAGAGGTCATAAAACCTTTTAATGGGCTCTGTGGTCTGTTCGGATTTAGATTTTCTTCCTCTCCAGAGGTCACGCCTGTCTTTGACCCTGTGTGCTGCTGTGATTCTGCAGCACCTCAGGACAGAGAAAGGGGGAGATCTCTTCCCAAAAGTGTAAGCTCCCACATGAGCAACATAGCAACACATTAAACTCCCTGACTTGTTTGTAAAGCGTTCTTTAAGGCCTGAATTGAGTCTTCTGTTGTGTAACGGAAAATCCCATTTCCAAAAAGGGTCAGTTTAATAGCCCTTATCATATTATCGCTCTGTGCTTGCATGCTAGGACCTATTGTCTTTGCCAGAGCTGCTGCTATTCTTTCTACATGTATTAGCTCCATATTAGCAGGGTTCACTAACATGGTTGGTTGATCCAGTTTAAGATTTTCAATATCTTCCATTACTATTTCCAACATTCCTTTTCCCTGAATATCAGGTCTAACAATGTGTTTTCTTTTAGGAGTATTAGATGGGACACTCATAAGTGGCATTTGTGAGCTATTATCTCCGTAGGGTGGAGGTAGGGTCTCAGACATTATACCACCTTCTTGTTGCTCTCTGTCTCTCAAGTATTACACAGATTTGACTTAAAAAAAATCACACAGAGCTTCTCATACCTTATCATATCACAGTCAGGCAAATTTTTATTGTGCGATGTTTATTTCAACAGATAGCGTGACTTCCAGAAGTAGGCTTCTACAATCTCCTCACGGTGATTGCGACTTCAGGTCAAGAGTTAAAACTCAGTCAACAAAATCTCTTTATCGTCACGTTTAATGAGCCTGATTATCCCCACAACAGTTTTGTGATGAGATACGGTCGTTCCAAATAATTAGTTGGAGGTCGCGTCTCCCTCCTCCTCTATCACCCACCATATAACAATTACAGACATTTTATACATTTAAAGCACCACGAAAGGTAACCGCATTAATCAATCTTATCATGATCTGCGGGGAATTTAACCCATCTGTTTTTTACACCTTTTGCAGCCTTTAATTAAAGCACTGTAAAGCAACCGTATTAATCAATGTTATTTTGACTTACGGGGAATTTAACCTATACTTCTTTTACAGCCTTACAGTCTTCGTATTTAGTGAGTGAAGGGCTGGGACTGACCTACCCGCCTCTCTCAAACACTATTTCTGCTCTAGATCCAGGACTGAATACCCTTCTCTAAGCACTTCCCCAATATCCCCAACTTGTAACATGTATTGTATTTCCCACCGTGACTAAGAACAGTGAGAACGCTGCTGACAACTCTAAAGTTTTAGTATAATCAATCACAGATTTTTGATATTCAAAACAGGTGTCTGCTCACCTTTTGTGTATAGCGCGCTTGCAGTTGTCAACAGTGTCTCTTTGTCCTCCCCCTGGACTGGATTCTGTCCCCTGGCTGTCGGTGTTCCTTTCTAGAGATCAGCTCACAAACGTCGGGAGTCACCACTTGTTGGAGTAGAACACTTTTCTGGTGGCTAAATAGCCCCCCCCTCTCCGCGCCGTTCGTTGGATGAGGCTGGATCTCTATTAAATTAAGAAAGGAATTGAAAACACCGGAATCAAAAGTTATAACAATTATCTGAGTTTACTGGTAGGAAATAGAACAATTATACAAGTTATACAGAGTATTTCGGACTTCAGATTTGTGATGCGATGCGGATAAATGCGTCGGGACCCGCCAACTCATCAAACCAAAAAGAAATTGGACTTCAGGTTTGTGATGCGATACGGACACAGTTATCAGGACCTGCCACTCACCAAACCAAAAAAGCATTTTTACACACACAAACATCAGTATTTCTATCTGTCTTTGGGGCGGAGATTTGTCGATTCTTCCTTCCCACTTTTCTCCCAAGCGAATTAGAGAGCCCCTGGGGAGGAGCTGTTTAAACTGACCACCTCCCCCAAGTGCCCTGACTGGCTGGATTCGCTTCTGGCCGAGGTCAATCAGAGTTCCGAACAGAGTGAGATCCCAAACCACACCAGGTCAAAAGTCAATGTTTATCTTTACCTTATCTTACTCTACATTCCTTTCCCAGGGGATATTTTCACCTAAACTATCCTCCTTCAGACATTTAAACTCTTCTTCACCTATTTAACGATGTCTTTTAACGACTTAATGACCGCATCTGGCTTTTAGGGATGATAAGAAGGATGTTGGTGTGTTGAAACACAGAATCTCTGGATCAGTGAGTTTGAAAGTAAGAATAACATTCCTATTCTAAGTGACTTATCAAAACCCGTTTGTGATTACCTAAAACAGTTCAAACAATACATGTTTACTTCAATACAGTGTAGAATCATATCTTTTTACTTCAACACACACACACACACACACACACACACACACGGAAAATGTGTTACAACTGTACCCGGTCTCCCTATAACAGTATCTACAGTATGCCTAACACTTATTTGTTTTCACAGAAACTTCCACCCATAGATGAGCTGCTGCTGTTCCTCATGCACCTGTCAGTGGGCCTACATCTGAGGGATCTAGCAGAACGGTTTGGCATTCACCGCACCACAGTCAGCAGAATTATTTCCACCTGGACACACTTCCTGTACCAACTGCTTGGAAGCCAACGTCTGTGGATCCCACGCGAAGTTGTCAGAGCTCACCTTCCACCAGAGTTTTCAGCTTTCCCTGACACACAAGTGGTGCTTGACTGCACTGAAGTATTCTGCCAGACTCCATCATCTCTCCTGCTGCAGAGTGAGGTGTTTTCAACGTACAAGTCACATGCTACATTCAAGGCCATGATCGGCATGGTACCACATGGTGCCATTACATTTGTGTCTGGCCTGTATGCAGGATCTATGAGTGACCGGGAGATTTTCAAGCTGTCTAGCATCGTGAGCCTGCTCACACCAGACATGGCAATAATGGTCGACAAAGGGTTCCTTGTGGACAATCTGGTTGAGTGCAAAGTTTACCGGCCTGCCTTTCTGTAAAAAAACCCCCAAATGAGCAGGGAGGATGTCAGGCAGACTCAATCCATTGCACGTCTGAGGGTCCATGTGGAGAGGTGCATCAGAAGGGTCAAAGAGAACAAACTCTTTGACAAAGCCATACCACTGTCTGTGTGTGGAAGCATTGAGGAGCTTTTCAATGTGGCTTGCTTCCTGGTCAACTACCAGAACGGACCACTGGTGAAAGCATGGGCAAGCCTGGGCAGCAATGATTAAAAGATTTCTTGCTCCCAAACCAATTGTGTATTTCATTGTGGTCGTTACAAAAAGCATACCATACTATGTTTAGGTACTAATGAATTATAACCTCAAAACAAATGCACACAAAAATAACATAGGACAATACATAATATAATAAATCCACAATATGATAACATTTTACAGATTCATTTAATACACTTTTACAAAACATAGGTTGATGTTATAACGGGGGAAAAAAATACATATTTAAACATTTCAATTAGTCTCTGCATATTTAAGTAATGCTAGTTTATGTAACAGATAAACAGATCAATGCAAGATAAGTTAGTTAGCATCCACAACTTTTGTTAATGAATAACGTCATATGACATTAAATGTCTGCCAATAAACACCCCTTTCTTCCTCACATAGGTCCTTTGACGAAAGGATCTTTTTGACTTATAGAACACACTTGGTTCTGGTTTTAGCAATTGAAAGAACTATATACAGGAAAATATTCATGTTAGATCAGTAATGTAGTGTGATGTAGTGTGGTACACTAATGTAGTGTAGTGCATATCAGTCCATGTAAAAATTAAAATTAAAATAATCTCCCTTCTCCCTAATGGTTGTAGCCACCTCGCAGTCTCTGCAGATACGCTGTATAAGGATATCCTCCTCTGCAAAAACGACAAAATCGCACCACTCCATCCCTGTGAGTAGGAGCTGGCCTTGCACCTGCCAATAGTAGCTATGAGACTGCTTCAGTTTTAATGTGCCACTTTGCATTTTTAAGTAGCTACAGTCCACATAACTTTTTGCATTTGGGCATTTTATTTCAACAAGTCCAAAAGGTGGGCTCTCAGTTGGGTTAAACACCAGACCGTCAGGAGATGACCCTAACCAGGGGGCATCTGGGTGAATGACAAACCCACACGGCCAGTAATTGGTGTTTTTAATCCGGCAGTATTCCTGGATGGCAACCGGTTCCAGTGCCAGTCCCCTCTTCATTGATGCCGTTTGCGCCACTCCCTTCCGAATCCGTTGTGCTAAGTTTTCAGCCGAACTCTGACTTCGAACATGGCATACTTCCCTGAAACGGGAAGAAGTTATTCTTGGCCTCCTAACACGGTGCCATTCCACACTGTCGCTCTGCTCCCTTGTGGCCACCTCGATTTTCCTTGCCATGAGCAATGTTGTCGCAAGTGACAGTAGATGGAGGTGCTGTTGGTGACTGCACACAAACTCACAGGTGGTAGGCTCCAGCCTATAGCCATCCACAGGTAGAGGTGGTGGTGGAGGGGCATCTGGGTGACGCACTATAACCCGGCTAAGAGGTAGTGGATGCTGGTATGAGATAGGGCTACCTTCCTGAACTTTTCCAAGGTGGAGTTAACCAGTGGCACGTCCACACTTATAGCCATGGTGGTGATCAGTGGTGCGATGTCTGCTGAGAAGTCCTTGTATACCTCGCTGACTTTGAGGACATCTGGGTCTGGCAGCTCCCCCCGCACGGCCTTGTAACGTGTACTCCTTTGAACATGTTTATATAATAATTAGGACTTTAAGAACAATTTTACACTCAGACAACAATCACAAAGTTGTTGCAGGCTACATACAATTACTTAGGACAATAGATATTACCTTACACCGTCAGCAACTGTAAACTGCTTTGGCTTAGTGGAAATGAACACCATGTCACTCACTCTGCCTGGTTTCACACCCTATTAATTACACAAAAGAATTGTCAAATTCATTGAAATGGTCATTGATGCAACATACTAGATCAGCTCTTGGCACAAAGGAAATACTCATTAAACCGTGGATTGGTTGTGAACACATACTGTACTTACCATGGTTCTTGGCTTGTGCCATCGCTGCTCTGTTTCAGTGCAGCTGAGGACAGGGGGTACAGCAGCCAGGTTGAGTGTGGAGTAGTGTGCGGTCTGGAACAGCAGTGCAACATTGTGGTTGCAGAGTGCTGTTCCAGCTACACAGGAACACTTTGCCACTGCAATCTCCACGGGTGAGCAGTTCTCAAAGACAATCTACACATTAAAATAAAATGTCAGTCATTTTACATTTAGAACACCGCTTCAATACAACACAGAAAAATGAGAAAGCTGAGAGCAGGCTGATCAGGCAAGTAGTAGGTGTGGGAAAAGGCTAAACCATGTCAGGTTATCAGTCACATCACATACACAGAAGTTCTGCTGTTTGGAATACTGTAATTTAAGGACATTCAAACAGATAAACTCTCTCAGCTGTCTCAATTTATTATCTTATTATATTATAACTACATAAAATAGTGTTAGAACGTTGAACAGCTTAACATAGATGTAGGGTACAAAACCAGCACTTACCTAACACTGGCCCATACAAATAACTGGACCCTACATGGATTATACTAACCATACAGTAAAGAACAGCAGCCGTCACAACCAGTTTCTGGGGTTTCCATGAAAGCAGAGACGGTTTTCAACCTCTCATTAATAATCTTTGATGAAAGCTAAGTTTGGGTTTAGCTAATGTATTTATCATTTTACACGAGAGGGTTACAAAACGAAAATAAATCTGTAGCCCCTTCATGCTACACACACATAGCTAGCTACCAGTTGATGTGAGCTAATTTATTGTCACTATGCAATCTGTTGCAACACGTCAGCTAGCTGGGCTTTTTTTAATCCTAAATCACAGGTTACCTACTCTAGCCACATCAAAACCCCAGAACATGAACCTGATTGAGGCTTTGAACCGATGAACACTTTTTATTTTCCTCCCTACTCTGAGATGGTGAGGCTTTTCATGCTTCCTCATGGATCTGTAACAGCTAGCCCTGACGCTCACTCTCCCTGAAGGTAGATCTTTGTTTGAAACTGTGGGGAATTGGACATCATTCATGTTATCCAAAACACGTAATAGTACATCATTAAAACGCTTTACACTGTATCAAGACTGTCAAGTTGTCAAAGTTAGCCAGTAACTACAGCTTTGTTTGTCACTTACCTTCATAGTTGTTATCTACCCGCTCTACCGTAGACCGGATGTTAACAAGCGCCCACTCAATGAACCGGAAATGGAAATACGTCATCCCGTGCAACTAGCCTATAGCAAGTCTGCATCGGTGCTGACCATGGATGTATAATAAGAACTGGATACAGCGTGGGAGGCGGGGCCTCATTCATTCCTATGAGAGTTGCTCATTCGCGCATGATGATAAAATGGCCCAACTTTTGAGAGAGCGAAACGTCACAGATTACCCGGCATGCCTGGGAAGTACCCGTATGTGCGCTCATAGCGCATGCGCAACTTTAACCATGCCCCCCAAAATGCTCGTTCACATCAAGCACGTCAATTTGCGTACACGTAACAGCACCGCACGTTCATGACAGCATGGTAATGGTTTGTTATTATGATAGATTTGATATTAACGAGGCGGCAGTTAGCAGCTAGCGGTTAGCTAGTAATTATGCTAATTTACACATCAATCGTTATGTACTTTTATATTACGCTGTAACAGGATCTAGTGATATCCAAGCAATAGAGCTTCATTTAGCATGAAAGAATTATTGCACTGTATATATATATATATATGCATATGTATGTATATATATTAGGGCTGTCAGTCGATTAAAATATTTAATCGCGATTAATCGCATGATTGTCCGTAGTTAATCGCGATTAATCGCAAATTAATCGCACATTTTTTATCTGTTCTAAATGTACCTTAGAGGGATATTTTTCAAGTTTGTAATACTCTTATCAACATATGAGTGGACAAATATGCTTTATGCAAAGGTTTGTTTATCATTTGAACAACACACACACAATGACAAATATTAAACACAACCATCTCTGAACATTACAAATATTCGCCTCAATTCAACCTGGAACCTCTCATACAATACAATAATACAATACAAAGTAAGTGTGTGTGTGTGTGAGAGAAAAACATGGCTGCAACGCGTGAGTGGTGAGATGAACTCGCTCACCTTTTTTAACATCTAAGCTCACATTTGTAACTGCCATCATTATTGCAGTGGGGATATAAGATGCACTGGACGCTTCTGGTACACAATGTGTCTCGTTACCACGCTAAGATTGGCCTTTAAACAAGCCCTGAACAGCGGGCGCATGTCTGTCTGTCTGTCTGTCTGTCTGTCTGTCTGTCTGTCTGTCTGTCTGTCTGTCTCTGTGGTCACTCTCTCTCTCTCTCTTTTACACTCTCTCCCAACCATGTCTACTTCTTTGCACTGAGCCAGTTGCTCAAACAGACAAGCCTGTTTACATTGTCGGACGACAGGGCAGCTCGCTTCTTCTGAACAACATGCCCAGACAATGAAAACAATCTCTCACAGGGTACGGATGTGGCAGGTGTTGCCAAGTACTTGCGTGCAAGGCCGGCCATCTTGCTGTGTGCCCCTTCATGTTTGGACCACCACTGTTGAGGACAGTCCTCCAGGGCAATAGTAGGCTCTGCCTTGTAGCGCTCCACACAGGTCTCAATACAGTCCTCCTCTTCATCAGACGAAGACTCTGGGGCAACCATGAGAGCTAATCTCTTTTTAGGTGGCTCAGACGTCGCTGGTCGTTCTGGTCGTTCCGGCTGTGCAGGCCTCTCCCCCCTGAGTAAGGCAGTGATCGAATGCCACACCTCAGCCCTGTCAGGTCTGGACAGACACTTCAGGTCCTTAAACCTAGGATCCAGCGCTGTCGCAACTCTCAGCCATGCAATGTTTGTTTTGTCCTTGCGTTTCTCCATGTCTGTTCTGAAGGTCTGCTTGAATGTCACCATGTAGGCTGGGTCATCCTCAGAGGACTCCATCACTCTCGATAGATGACACAAAGCAGGCAGCACCACTGAGCATGAAACAAACTTCTCTCCTCCAAGAAGATCAGATATGTACCTGCAATAATAGAGAAAAGCACTTCAGTTAGGAGCTTGTCACACACACACACACACACACACACACACACACACACACACACACACACACACACACACACACACACACACACACACACACACACACACACACACACACACACACACACACACACACACACACACACACACACAATAAATTACCTGCAGGGCTCCAGCACTGTCTCCAACTGCTGCAGTTTAGCCAGCTCAGCTGTTGTTGGCATGGTAACGTTGGTTGTTTGTAGGGCCAGCACATCTCTCAAAGGTTGTTGATTTCTCAGAATACGTCTGATCATCTCCAGTGTACTGTTCCATCTGGTTGTCACGTCCTGTGTGAGTGACTCTTTCTTTTGACCACTTTCTATTTGCTTTTGTTCGAGCTCTGCTGCGTTTGGCGGGCTATGCTTAAAATGACCCACTACCTTTCTGCATTTTGCCAATGCGCCGTTAAACGGACTGTCCTGGAGAGACACTGTGATGGATCGTTGTAGACTATGTGCAGCGCAAGGCATATGCTGGAACGGGAGCTGCCTGGACGCTGCAATCATGTTGCGTGCGCTATCAGTGGTGAGTGTGCTGACTTTTGGTACAATGTCCCACTGTCTGGCTACCTGCATAAAGTGCTCAGCGCAGTTGTCTGCGAAATGCCGCTCCTCTGTCTTCATAACAGTCAGGGCATGAGACTGAAGTTCCCACTGTGGGTCAAAATAATGCGCTGTGACCCCGAGATAACTGTCATTACTCAGTGAAGTCCAATAGTCTCCGGTGAGCGCAACTGTGGAAGTCTTCCTCAAATCCTCCTCAACTTTCACTTTTTGGACTTCATACAAGTTGACTATTTTCGTCACAGTGGTGGCTCTGGAAGGCAATTCATACGTGCAGTCGTTGGATGCGACCCGAATTATATCCCGCAGTCCCACGTCCTCCACAATGTTTATTGGCCTGCAATCTGTAGCCACCCATTTAGCGATAGCTGTAGAGAGCTTGCTGCGCGTTGACGTGTCCAGGCGTCTCCCCGGCAAACTTTCAAGTGTTGTCTGTCGCAAGCGGGCGACAGGAGCGGGGCTGTCAGCATCAAATGTGTGCTTGGCTTGCAGATGATATTTTAAACTGGATGTACTCCTATGGTAACTCAATTCACATCGACAGTAATTGCAAATTACTTTGGTCTGGTCGACAGAACCATCTGGTAGGGTTTTGAAGCTGAACTTGCCGTTTAAAATACCTTTTCTTGAATCCATAATATTAATCTCTCTGCTCGTAGAATCTCCCGCCATCTAACTAACAACATCAATAACAACGTTAATGCTTTGCGCTCTGAAACTAAGGGGCGGCCGAGGACAAAAAATACACTATAAAAAAAAAAATTCAAATAAAAAATACACATGCGTTAATCGCGTTAAAATAATTAATCGCGTTAATTTTTTGTTTGCGTTAACGCGTTATTAACGCGTTAACTTGACAGCCCTAATATATATACAGTGCAATAAGCTTCTTAGTGCAATAAGAAGCTACAGGGACGTTAATCTACGTCGGTAATATTAACTTTATTTAATACAACATTTACGGTACAAGATTTAATCATACAGCCCATGTTTGTAGTATAATATTTTACAAATTATGAATTACAGCAAACATGTGTAATATATCCATTATTACAGCTCCGTGGGATGGCAGTAAGGCGATATGGGTCCGTTCTTATTGTGCATCCATGGGTAAAGATAAACGCATGTAGTGCTGAACACGTAACATGAACGTGCCGGGCGGCGCGGTCCCGTGGGTTAGATGCGCGTTCATAATGCAGAGGGAAATAACTCACAGAATAACGTTATTAGCACATTTTTACAACTTGAGGAACGAATGTTTTTAATAAGGGCTATACAAGTGTTCATACTGGGTAGTTTATTTAGTTTAAAAAAAATTATCCAACGATTTACAGACCACTCTTTCCCCATGTAAGTCAATGGGAAAAAGTGTTTCCGGGCCTGGCAACCAAAAGGAAGTGTAGTACCGCCGTTTGGCCAGCACGAATATTTTCATCTGAGTCCGGCGCACTTCCTGGGGGCTTGGTGCTGACTTGAGACCGGTCTCTACCTGACCGGTCTCAACGCTGTGTGTGTCTGTCAGGAAACACGCTGTTTACAAGTAGTTCCAGCACTGATAAATTGCGATGTTAACAACCTCATGATAACCTCGTATTTTTTTAACTTAGGATCGTATAGTCTAGAAAAAGGTAAATGTGTGCATTTTATTATAAAGTTGTGTATATTTACAGACTGTAGCAACAACTAAGAAGCTTATAACATCAGGTTTAAAACTAAAAGAGCTTTACAAAAAATGAACACAATTAAAGATGTTTGGAGTTTTATTTGAGTTATTAATTTTAATTTTTTGTCCAAGAAATGCTGATTTGAAACCGTTGTTGCATACAGTTACGGCATTTCCTGTTTCTGCCGGAGAGAGGGGAGTTTGTTCCAAAGCTTGCCGCTGTATTTACTCCCTCCATCTGACAGGAGGGAGCCTCGTTGAGCTGCGAGTGTCACTCCACGGAGTTCACTCCGTCACGGAGGGGGAGTGTATAGGGGTAGGGTGTAGGGCGTGGTTTTGGGATTGGCCATTAGTGTCAGTGTTTGCGTCAGTGAGTGAGGGCTGTCGGTGAGCAACAACTGTTGATCCACTCCCCCCCCCCCCCCCCCCCCCACCCCACCCCACCCCATCACTGCGCTGTGGGTGATGTCTGGATCCTACTGCCGGAGTTTGTACCCGTTCAGCGGGGAGCAGCACCCGCAGGGACTGAGCTTCCATGCCGGGGACATGATCGAGGTGCTGCAGGCGGCGCCCGGAGGCTGGTGGCGGGGGCAGAGGGAGGGGTCCTCGGGCTGGTTCCCCTCCAGCTATGTGCAGGTCCTGGAGGTGAGAGACATTTAATATGTGCTGCTCGTTATTTAATACTACTTCTGGATGCCAGTGTGCTTAAATCTTACTTTTAATTTGTTATCCCTGCAACTGAAAAACACATTTGTATTTGTATGTTCTTTCTCTCTGCTTCTTTCTCTCTCTCTGTCTCTCTTTCACACACACACACACACACACACACACACACACACACACACACACACACACACACACACACACACACACACACACACACACACACACACACACACACACACACACACACACACTGGAAGATAAAGGCAGCATTGACAGATATTCACTAATAACGGTGGCTGCACATCAGATTAACCCTGACCCTCCCACAATCAGCTCTCTGACTGAGAGGCAGCACTTCCTCATTCCAGACACATTCCTGTGAAATCCTCAGGCCTGCTCTCCTCTCTGCAATGAAAGCACAGGGTCACCTTCCAATCCTTCCAAGTTGATGATACAATCTCCCATTCTAATAACTTTTTTCAAAAATTATATTATTATTAAAATGTTCTTAATTCTCATAAAAAATATAATTTGAAGAGGGAGGATGATAAATTACAATATGAACAATTTACATTTGTGGTGACAATGTGCGACACCCATCCATTCTAATTGATTACCATTTTTCAATTGGATCTCTTTACACTGGATACTATCCTTCATGTAAATCATAACTATACCCCTTTCTGAGCTGCTTCTTCTGTCCGTTAAAGGCTCCTGATGGGTGAGAGTCATGAAGCCAGGTCTCAGATAAACACAGGAAATCTAAATTAGAGTCCAGTGAAAGTTGATGGATCTGCTCACTTTTAGATGTAATGCTTTGTATGTGTAAATGCCCACCTAAAAGACCCTTTGGGATCCCAGAATGTTCTTGAGTGATTGATAGGTGGAAAGACACTCCGATTCCTGTTGGTGGAGATCCTAGGTGATCACCGGATTCACCTGTTTCCTGTTATCCTTTTGAGGAGTACTTTTGACAAATGCACATGGATTATTGCAGCAAGAGACACCCGGGATAGGCCAAAGAGCTCATTAATATCCGTAGGTTGGCCTCGTTCATTTGGCTTGAATCCGAAATACTCCCACACCGGAGATGTGGAATTAGGTTTTGTAACCAATTCCATTTCTATTTAAATTCCCCTAGAGCAGGGCTCTCCAACACGTCGATCGCGAGCTACCGGTAGCTCGCGGGCAGCTTTTCAGTAGCTCGCCGCTCGATTATTGATTATAGCGTAGTAAGGTTGCTTATTGATTTTTCGGCCGCGGCTGGACAATAACGTTTTTTTATTTTAGAATTTTTTCTGTCACACGAATATCAAATGGTCGGTGACGCAGAGATCAAGGAACAGACGTGACAGCAGCACAGCGACAACACACACGGAGCAGTCTGCTTTCTCCACCAACACCAGTCCAGAACTAACAGCAGAATGACCCGCTCTGAATCAGGCCCTGTCGCTGCGCGTCAGAGACACACAGGGAGGGATTTGTGTTTTTTGAAAAACACTCGTTATCGTCATGTCAGGTTTTTGGTGGATTTAATCAAGTCTTGGATTGCAGAGTATGAATGTCCTCTTGCTATTTTCAGTTGATAAATACTTGTGTAAAGTTTGTGAAGGCAGGAGGAAAGCTTCCGCGATCACCGTCTCCTCTCCGTTCCTCCAAACCCCGCCCTGAAAATAATGAGTGACAGGCTGATAGTGACCCGATAGAAACTTTATTATTCACTTAACCACTGATTGAGATATGATGAAGCTAACTTAATCTTATACATTCATGGGATTTATGTAACAGTAGAGAATGTAAGTGTGCACCCACATGCACTATTTTTGTTTTTATAATGCTATTGTAAATACTCCTGCTGTTTTCAGACTCAAGTCCTGTGTGTGATGCATTCAAGACATTCAGTGTCTTTTTTTTTAACAGAAGACTAGCTAGAAGCTGCAGCTAGACTGCAGAAGTATTAGTTTTTTGTTTTTGAGGATAGAACCATTTTCACACACAGATATAGGGAGGCTAGACCTATACCAGAGTTCCCGTTAGAATATTTTTTTGCCGGTCAACATGTCCGTTAAAGTTGAAATCTTCCGGACAAAATTAGATAAGTGCCGGTTAAAGGTCTTCTTTGTTATTTATTGAGCTTTAAAACAAATTGATATGATTCGACATTAAACAAACTAATTATAGTAGATTAACTACATTATTCAAAAGTGTACAGTAATTTACAAAAACGCGGGAATAATAAACGGAGCGCTCTCTCCTTCTCCTGACAGCCCGTCAGTATCATGCAGCTCGCGGATCCAGTAATGAGTGACCCGACAGTAAAACTAAACATATCTATAACTAGTTTAGGTAGTTTGAGAGGTAATTAAAATAGCTACGTGTGATTTTCTAACCTGAAGTGTGTTTTGCTCTGCTCGCCGCTGCAGGGGATCATGCAGAGCTGCGTGTCGACTCGTCAGCAGCAGCCGATCTCTCTCTCCTGTCAGATTAGACTTTACTCGCATTTATGTCCATATCGATCAGATCTAGCTAGTTCTAGCTAATGATATGACTACCTGCTTGTTAAAAGACACCTAAACAATAAGCGTCGCTATGCAACCGGATGAGGCCACAAAGTATAGCGCAGCATTATGCATTTGTTTACATGCCCACCGGAACCCCGAGGCATTACCAACAGATCAACGCACAATCAACCCATACAGGACATCTCTTTCTCCACATTAAGTGTTAGACATTAGAATTGACAATTTTTGTCTGTCACATACTCTTTTGTCTGTCACATACTATTCTTGTCTGTCACATAAGTGGCGCAACTGATGCGGTATTGCGCTAAGGGAAAATTATTTTGACCGGACATTTTGACCGGAGAGATTTAGATTTGCCGGACTTCAGCATATTTTACCGGTCATTGTCCGGTAATTACCGGCTAACGGGAACTCTGACCTATACAATTAATTTATTATGGTTTATAATTTAATGTCAAGACGAAGAAGAAGAAGAAAAAGATGGCTGAACAACTGTTCAGTGTCAATCCTGTGGAGATCTCCAAAATAATGTTCAGCTTAAGTCTCAGCAAAACTCACAACATTTCTGGAGCCTTGTAGACCCCGAAAACTATAGAACATTCACCAAGCAGCACTGAAAATGTCTGCTTTATTTGGTTCTGTTCTACATACCTTTGTGAAGCAGCTTTTTCTGACATGAATGAAATCTAAATACAGAACAAGACCAACTGATGAACATTTAAATGACTCTATTCTATGACTCCAGCATACACCTCTATGGTGGACTGCATGCAGTGCCATTCATCTCACTAACAAAAGAGTGAAATGCTTGTAAGGTGGTGATTAAGGACACTTATGTGAATGTTCAGTGATGTACTTATTATGTGGGCCATAATAATATGTGAGAAATCTTCGTTTTCTTGGACCTTATTTTTGATAAGCTTTAGGTATTGCAATTTCACACGTGTACAAAAGTATAGCTTAATTCAACTGATGAGGGCTATGTGAATAAATGTAAGCGATGTGATGCAAGTAGCTCTTGGCCACTTTCATTTTTTGAAAGTAGCTCTCAGATGAAGAAAGGTTGGAGACCCCTGCCCTAGAGTAAGTCACACGTTGTCTCATGCTTGTCGCTACTCGCTATATATTAATTTGGATGCTAGATCATGCTGCTACACTGCTGCACGTGCACGCGGAGTGTCTGACTCCTGACCTGGCTCTGTGTGTGAGCCCCGCCCCTCACAGCCCGCCAGGCCGGCAGACACAGCGCGCCTGGCGAAAATTCTGGTCACATCCTTATGTAAACGGCAATTTATCGAGCTCAGAAAAGTTATCGAGTCCATTTTTATTTATCGTACGATAAGTCAATTTATTGATTATCGCGACAGGCTATATATGTTCACTTATAAAAGGGGTAAATTAATAATCTTTTTTCTCAAAGCAATGATACACCTGTGAGTTGGATGCAGAAGAGTCAGAATCAATATAGTTGTTTTTATTTTAGAGTAAATTCAGGTTGAACATAGTAAAACAATTTAAATTATAGTTTCCGTCCAAAAAAAAAACATTACTTATAGTGAAAACCACCGTTGAATGATGGGATAGTAGACAAAAAGGAATCCAAACTATAACATATAATAAGTACCCTGTATCAAGATTGATGCAAAACAAGTGAAATTTGATCTTTTTAGAGAGGTTTAGAAAAAAAACCCACCTCTGGGGTCATTTGGGTGGATTTGCCATATCTCTGGAACCCATCGGTCGATTTTGGTGATTGACACCTCTTTTGAACCGTTAGAGCCAATAGAATCGAGGGGGGGTAAATTACCATTGGTGAATGAGAGTGATGCACATCCAGCATGCCCAAAACCGGAAGCTGGTTTACACTCAATAGAAGACTATGTTTATTACCATAAATGTTATGATGGATTATCAGTAATCATTTCAAAGTGACACAGAGACATTGGATTAACCTTCAGCAGCGTTTATATGCGTTGTAATGCCCTTGAACACAACTTTTGATCAGAAAACAGCAAAGGTAAGACGTATTTGCCCTTTGGCCCCGTAAAGTGAAGTTGTGTGTTGTCTTTCCTGGCTTCGCTGCTGTGAGTTTTGGTCGCACAGTGATGATACTTATACCAATGGAATCTGTGGAATCTCAGCTTTCATATGATATCTAGTTTGTGATATCTCAGATTGCATGAAGTATAAAATATTGCTACCGTGAGTTATGTGCTAAGTGCGTTAGCACTCTTTTGCTTAGTGCTGATTCAGAGGCTTGGCGTGAGACTTTTGTCTGTTTTGTTTAGGTTATGAAAAATGGTTCATATCGTCAGTTAGCTGAGTTTCTTCCCGTTAAGTGGGTATGACACATTAATAGGTTGTTAAATGTTAAGAAGCCCTGAGACACAGTTTCGTGAAAAGGTTAAAGTCCAGTTGGTGGCTTGGTTGGTATGTCTCTTCAGCCTTCTTTCTTTC